GTTTGACAGCCATATTTTCATTTGAAAGAAAGCGTGCTGGTGGTAACATCGATGAAATTTTTATATTAAATCAAAATAAAAGTCTGTTCCTTATTGGATTATTTATGATTACGTTTTAGGAAATTATTCAGCAAGTTTTTTAAAGACTTAAATGTTTTTAAACACCGAAATTGAGAGAATGTTGTCTGGTGGCGTCATGCGGCAAATGCTTATTTCAAGACATCAAAGTGCCCACACACAAAAACTTGCAATCACATTGCTCGTCAAAATGACAGTTGGTAGGCCATCGGTGTTTGCCTGTGGAGTTCTGCGGTAAGGTATGTGTGTGTGAATGTATGCATGTGTGATGTGTGTGTGAGTATCAAAGGGATTAGACATTTAAAATTAATGCTTGAATAAATTGACGAATAGCAGGAATGTCAAGGTCAAGCTTTTTGAGGCCAATTTTTTTGAATAGAGAAGCCGCTTATAAATATGTACATATGTGGCAATATAGTGTGGCAAACGTTTTCCGGCAGCAACAGCACTGTACCTTATTTACGTACCATTGCAAAAACTAAAGACTTAAGCGACGAACTTGCTTCAGTGGTCGTTTGACTAGTTGCTTGCTTAGCAAAGAAAGCCCGCCGCCCGCCCCCCTGCCAGTGACCTTTTTTGTGTTACGCAGTTTTCACGCATCATTGCCAGCCATCTAATGCGTATGCAGTGCTTTGTAGTTGCAGCAAAAAATCGGCTTTTGTAAATGTTCCGCATGCGTAGCGGCTGGCAAATGTTGTTGTTGGCCTGTCAGCGCATCATTCAATGCTTAATTTATTTCTATTTGTTTTTATATTTTTATCTACATACATACATATGTTTCTTTGTATGCTGATTTTTGCGCTGACATTTCATTGTCATTTTGTGGCAAGCGCAAGAGTCACAGCCGTGTTGCATGCATGCTTGCACTCATGTGCATTGTTAGTGGCGTGTACATCTATGCAAAATTATAAAACTACATACAGTTCAAGGTTGAGTTGTGGCTTTTAAGTTAATTTTCAATAATTTTTATTATACTCAATATGCCATTTTTAAAGACTATTAGGGTTAATATTTAATTAAGCGTTTTTTTATAGAAATATCAAGTCAGGGGGCTTGAGGTCAAGCTTAGTGAGCCATACTCACTTCATTTGTGACATAAATGTGCGAATACCGTTATGCAACAACCAACATCTTTTTCCAAGGGTCTACCAACACAATAGCATACTGGAGCCCATAAGCGTGACCCGCTGTGATAGTACAGTTTATGGTTATAAGTATTTCTTTCATACCCTTCATGCAAGTACCCGCCCACTGATCAAGCGAATGAATTGATCGTATTATCTTAGGGACTAAGAGAAAACGCATGTCCCTAATTCACATTCATCATGGTATCAAAATCGCCATACCAGTCGACTTTCGTTGTCTTTTGTGTTGTTAAAGTACTAATTCATTTGGCGCTGGAACACTCTCTTATACAATTTTCTTAACGCCTTAGTTCGCAAAACTTTATGCTCGGAATCGAAGGAGGTGTCCCCAACCAAGTTCGCAATTATTATGGAGACACCCACACTTCTATGAAACTTGAAAGTGTGAATATCCTGCTGTAACAATTGCAAGATAAAGGCTGCCATGTTGTCAACTACGCCGATGGTATAATCCTAAACAGAAATCTAATCTGTCGGCGCGGTATATATGGAAGAGCACCCTACGAAGGAAATTACCCCATATAAGTATACACCTGCAAATCAACAGTACGTAAAAACGGGGTTAGAGTACCACATTGTTCATTAAAAAGGCTATTCCGACAACTGTCAAAGATAAAAGTCTTTCGTAAGACAATTGTCAATTGTAGCTACTAAATATCTATCTATAAATCCACACAGTGAGTGCTCTTTACTTCTTATTCTACGGCATCACACTTCAGAAATAAGCTAACTAAGGTTCAAAGGATGACGTGCATCATGATTACAGAGGCTCTATCCACAACGCCGAGAAGAGCCCTAGAAACCTGGCTTCTCTTTTTAGCGTTGGGCGAAACTACAGTCAAGTTATAGTGCCGCAACAATCACTGCCTTGATAAAGTGGAGTGGCACTCCAGAATTTTCGAAGGTCTTCCGGCATGCATGAAGTGCCACGAAGATACAGTCTCGCCCCTTGCTCCGAAGAATTATTTCCATACAAAGATTCCCTCAAGGAGAGACTGGCAAGAGAGTCTCATCTTGGACCTGTAACCTGATTTCTCCAAATAAGAACAAGGTTTACCCGCTCTCACTCAACCTCGATTTTCGGATTTTTAAAGCGTTTTTTCAAGCCGAGGTAATACTCATAGCAATGAACGAAGCCGCACGGTGGCTGATCGATTATTCTTTTACGTAGACATCCTTATTCAGCTAAGTAGTTCTCCCTTTTGCTCACGCTAGTACCAAAACTATTTTTATCTTGGTCGTAAATCCATTAATAAATTTTACAAATTTTAAATAAATACCCTCCCATTAAATGTTGAACTTCGGTTTTTATAATTTTGCCTATTTTATATTTATCGCAACCAGACACTTGCTTTAATCATTTTCTATTTAATTAATTATTCTAATTTTTTCTTCACTTTCAGATTGAACGCGTGTGAACCTTACCACCTACGGTTATACCTTCGACTTCTAAAAATTTCGCATTTGCCACCAACAGCGATTAAACACAAATTTATGAACTCGAACAAGGTCGCTGCCGTCTAATCTAGCGCCAGTTTCTACTTAATACTTAGCAGGAATAAAACCTACACCACTTCAAAGAAGTATCAAACAAAGTGAATTTACAACTGTACAAAAGAATAAGCCAAATAAAAAGAAAAAATGCTGGTAAACGCCAATTCTATGTTTGAGTGTAAGTACGGGTAGCTAAAAATTTAAGATTCACAAAAGTAAAAAAACAAAACTAATTATGATTACAAGTGCAAGTAGGAGGTAGCAGGCAGCTACCAAGGGAAGAGCTGGTGCAAAGAAATGGGCGTTTGTCTTAAGCAAGGCAAGAAGAGGCTAAAACAAAGAAAAAAAAGAAAAGAAGTTAGTAATAACACTAATTTGAGTTTTGGAAATTTGCGTTCGCTTCAAAATTAATTACGCGCTGCCCACTGTATGCGCTACTTCGTTTGGTTGCTGTTTTTATAGCCTCATTTTATTAAATTTGTTCTTAGTAAGGTATTTTTTTCGACCACAGCAAGACAGTTGTTATAGGCGAAAAGAAAAAATAAACAAAACACTTACGTCACCACGTACCTACTCTCCAGCGTAGCTATTTGTGGGTTGCTGGTATGTAAATTTTTTTCTGGCATCTTTTCATATTCTCTGAATCGTTTTTTTTAACTGACCTTGATTTGCTGCTGACACGCAGATGCTTATAATATAATTTTATTTGCTATATACGCTGGCATTATTTAATTTTCATATGTCATGCTATACGTGCAGAACTACCTGAGTTCTGTGTATGACGAGTCGGTTACTTCTAATTTTTTTGCTCATTAGGGAGTACTTGGTTTTGCTGAGCCCAGATAACTGTGCTAAGTTTTTTACTTCTAGTTTGCTTCATTTCTTAAATCAATACGTCACAGTAGGGTGTCTGCTGTTAAGAGCCTATACGTTCCTCTTTCTAAACATTTCTACCAAAATTCAAATATCTAATTGTAGCGTTGGAGCTACACATACGCCACTTTATACCCCTGTTAAAATAGCCTTTGAAAGGTAAAGGAAATTTTTTTATCCAACGCGATTATTTTTCCCGAATTCTCCAAAGCCTTAAATTCCTGTCAAATTTTTTTCGCTTGCTGTTCTCGTTCTCGAGATATTAGAAGTTGTCACGAAAAAAGTTCAATTTCCAAACTGAGCGTCGGCAGCATAAGCAATCATATACTGCCCTCTAACGTGTCACGCGCAGCTCGTTTACTACAGCAACTCTTTGGGGTAGCCTTATGAAATTTTCTTTAGATGGAAACACGGCCCCACCTCGCCGCAAGAATTCTGTTTCAAAACATTCGGTAAATAAACCGGATAGGGTTGGCCTCGACACTCGGTTTATTTAGGGACAATTTCCTCAGATAGTACGTTATCGAAGCGTGGGGAGGGCCTCCTTGTTGATCTCTCCAACTATGTCTAAAGCTTGCTAATTTGACCACGAACTATCCCTGATAATGCCACCTTCTATTTGATAAGTTGAAGTAGGAAGTCTTATAAATAATTGCATAATAATCTACAGAAAATAAATTTAAAAGTACTATCTTTAATGAGGTTTACTAGAGTTTATATAATTCCTAACTTGCAATTGTTTCATGTATATTTTTTTTGCATTCAATGTCTACCATTAAATATTTTAAGTTTCCTTTTCGATATTTTTATTACCAAAGGCTTTATCACGACATAAAAACTATTTTTTTTACGTATTTTTTAATTATTTCAACACCCATTTTCTTGCTACCACTTGTCGTCTTCGGTTAAAGCCGTAATTCGCATAATTTCTCACTTCGGCCGGTAATAACAAAAATAATGATTGTTGGTTAGCCTGTCATCATTAGTCGCACGTTAATTAAATGAGCCGCGTAAATTTGCACTTTTTATGCTAAGCTAAAAGCTAGGGGCAAAATTTAGTACACACTATACATGTACAAAAATATCTACTTATTTGTATGTACATATAGTATTTGTCAGCATAGGTAACGAATATAAAATACATACATATTTTTTATCCATGCTAACATATGAACATATTTATGTATTTACCTATATATACAAACATACATTTTCCCAGTTTTAACAGCAACGTTAATTGCGCGTGTTAATTGTGTTCAGCCGTGCATTTATACATACATATATATGTATGTATGTTAGATCAGGTACATTTTTTTGACTAAGCGCGTATAGCATAGGAGAATTATACGTGTAATTCTAAGAAAATTTTCCGAAGAAACCATGAGTTTAAAACCAGTTTGGAGCTTGCCAATTTGCGAAAATAGGTTTCGAAGAAAATGTCAAAATCTTCACTGTTGCGCCCTCTGGTGGAATTTTAAGAAAGAAAAAATGCATAAATGTATCTCTCATACCAAAAACCCCTTATATTTAGCATGTTTTGATACAAAATTTAAGCAAACTCCAAATTGATTTTAGACACAAGGTTTCTTCGGCAAATTTGCTTAGAATTGCACGTAGAGTCCTTCTGTGATATATGCGCATATTCGAAAAAATCTCCCATACAAACTGACCCGCCCGAAATTTGAAGTTTGCTCGATTTATTCAATACGCTAAATATCAACGCCTGGCTAAAAGAAAATCTCAACAAAATGTAACAAATATCTCAAAGGACGGCCTATGCTTCCATTAACAATAGAGCCTAGATAAACCAGTCTATTTCTTCTTAAACCTCACCCCATAATTTGGATGATAAATAACCCAATTTATGTTGTGTTGTACCAACGCACCCAATACGAACTTGGATAAGTGTTAAAATTATAAGAATGCCAGAAGATACAAAAAAAAAATCCAAGGGCAACGAAAAAGCTTGACGAACTGGTTCGTTTCGGTAGTGAAAATTTTGGGTACAGAACTGAATATTTGCTGTAGCTTACCAACGTACAAGGCTATATTAAGCCGTTTAGTCACAGAACCACAATGACTACCCTCGTAGCTTAGATACCTAGCGGACGTCTACTGGACTTCGACTGACGTTGGGCAATAGTGATTTGCGGATGATCATGGAATTCATTCCCTTGCAAGAGTACCTCAGCAGCATCGGTGTTTTAGACCAGAGAAGATGAGACCACGTTCTTTTGCGCCTGAGAGTGCACATGCCCTGGTTCGATACGAGACATGTGATTGTGAATAAGTATTCTCAATCATAACTCTCCCTTGGAGCTCATACGGAAGTATATTATTCGTATCACCAAAGCGACGCTCCGCTTATATCAGCTTTATAGGCTCTTACCGGTAGGTTGGTTATAATGAACACTTCAGTATTATTTGAGCCTTCCATTTTATCCGTAATAGCAGGGATCACTGCGTGGTTAATATGTAAGAAATAAGCTTATGCTCTACTCACATCCCCTCTGCTGGTTGAGATACACGCGAATGGATGGAAGTTTGACGGAGGGGTTGTTGGAGGGATTTTTGCAGGTAGCTTTCTACCAAACTCAACGTAAGGATTTCGTGTGACTGTACCAATAACGAAGGAGGTAAATATCCGCCCTGATTACCAAGCCGCCTGCTTTCTCTTCCTGTAGCGTTTGATTGTTTAAAAGTCAGTTTTATATATATCTGTGAAAGAGAAAAGGAAGTGGGTGTATCTTTGGCTCTTGGACAGATGGGTCTCGTATGAGCTCAGCGAACTCTGCCCGAAAGCTAGGACATGTGGCACTTTGACGAACTTATGACTAAAACTGGCACAAAAGTGCTGCTTGGAAAACGAGAGAACAAAATTTGTTTTTGCATCACCTCGCAGTAAATATATTTAAAATTTTTTAAAGGACCTCCATATTAGTCCCCCAAAGTATATTCCCTTGGAAGTTTAGAGTTAGGTTATAACCTCGATTAACATACTGGATCTTATTTGAAGGGAATTGTCTCCTTTATTAGTTTTTTAATTTGCTATACTAATTTAATTTGTTTTTGCTACTACAAACTCTGCGCTCACCAGCTAATCAAATATGAACAAATAAATAATATGTATATACATACATGCATATTTATGCACAGTAGCTGTCGTCGTTATTTGCAACTCTATTATAACTCATGCATGTTGCGGCTTATCAATAGCACTTGATCGCTGAAGCAAAAGGGGTAAAAAGAAGAGCGAGAAATACAAAACAGCGAGTCAAGCGAGCGCTAATAACAACATATCGTCGCCTCAGAAAACGGATGACGAATGTGCAAAATCACGATTTTGGGATTTT